TGTAATTAGTACGGGTCCTCAGGCCTCTGCTCGCCGAATAATCAGCCACGCTTTCTGTAGCACCTCAGTGTGCCAGCCAAATATTGACCCCCTGCCCCTTTTTACTTTGAAAGAGGTGAGTGAGCCAGGGCAGAATTAGCTGCTTTTGCAGCAGTCCCAGATGGACAGAGAGGGATTCACAAGTCTCATATTCCTAAGCAAAGGGCAGGGACCATGTAGTTTGTTTTAAACAATCTTTGTACAGTGTATACGTGGCAAATTGTCACAGCAGCTTCCGGGCTCTCCAGCTTGTACTTGTCTTTTGTCGTCCATTGATGATCTTGAAAGCAGAAAATATCCACAACATGTTGTGCTCTGGCCAATGCGTCTTCTGCACAGGGACTTGGAAGTTGGGCTAGTGCAAAACACAAGGACCAGAGCTGCAGGGAAGGTGTCAGCAGATGGAACTTTCCCATCTCTCTCTTTTCATCTAATGCAGAATAAAGCTAGCTAATTACAGACAAAGCTGTTCTAAACAGAAGTTGACAGTCCAGGCTTTGTTACCTTGAGAGGGATGGAAAATATCCTTGGTCTTTTTAATAACCTCTCTGTTGTTTGTGATTGAATATGATCCAATTGTTCTAATGGAGGAGAATATTATGCACAGCATGAGTCAGCAACACTTTCTTCCTGGAACAGCTGACAGCAAAGAAAGTTCCCAAACTCCCTGCAGAAATATTCCTCCCCCCAGAGGAGGATCTGGGCTGTGTCCGCCAATACCTGCTGGTGCCTCCCCTTGAGATGGACCTGTCGTGTCTGACAGGAATACGGAACTATCCAAGGTTCATTCGAGGTTAGAAGACACAACTCAATGTGCAGCAAAAGCACTCAGGAGCCTGGTGCAGAGGAGGGGGAAGCCAGTCGCAGAAGTTCTGAGTGCCAGTGCATGTTCCAGTGGTTGGGAGGTTTGAAACGAGGCCCTTGACAGCACTGTCAGCGGGATGGTGTTAACAATTCCAAATGCTCAGGCTCATCTGAGGCCATCCAGTAAACAAGACTGGGTTGTTTCTTATAAAATACAGATCTATAGCCACCAGCTAAAGGGTGGTTGGGAATGGCTTTGAAAGCTACTAATTGATAGGTGCGCTGTCCACTCTGTGATAGGAAAAAATATACCAAAAAAATCTTGCCCTGTTAGGATAAATTAAATAAGGTGGCGTATTTTAAAATACTAAATCTTCAAAGCATGCAACGGGCTCCTAGGTAAAACTATGGACTTCACTGAAAAGCTGCTGGGAATGAGTTTTCCATGCTTTAATATGTAGTCCCCAGAAATTAACCCCCTACCTACTGACATTGCCCTGTTGCAGTGTTTGTGTTGTGTTGAGAACAACCATCTATCTAATGTTCCAGCAAGTGAAAGACCATGCACAGAAATGGACCTGGCTTCTGAACAGTCTCCCTGTACAAATTCATACTTCCACTGGAAATTTTTGCCAGGCAAAGCTACAGTCTGATAAGCAATCCCAAGTTTTGGATTGACTTTTGTTTGTTCTGTTGTGGCTGTTGGATATTTGCTGCCACTGGATAAAGTTTCTGGCAGCTACCAAGTGATTAGCTATAGTGAGATCCAACATTTTCCTATGGAACGAGCATTTCTGCCAAAGGTGGCAGCTCAAAGCACAGCATTGTTGCTTTTTAAAGAATCCAGACATACTAAACTACCTAAATCACTCCCTGTTCAATGCCAGATCACCCAGCCTCCTCCCTGCTCTGTGCTCAGGTCAGTCAGTGTGCCAAATGCTTCTCTCCTGTGAGCTGAGACCTTGCTCTGTTCCAAACTACATTCGCTGAGGTCTCTGCCCTCCACCTTGGACTTCAGGGGAGAGGAAGGGATGCAGGCACATAGGCAAGACTCGCATTTCACAAAGTTCCAACTGATTTTTAGAAAGTTTACAACAGAGCCCTAGACCTTAAAAGAACACTGTGATTGCCACAAAGAACAGTGTGGGAAAACCAGTATACATGCGTGTGCAGCCCTCCCACACGCACACTGACTACCCCAGATATAGGCATACCCACAGATCAGCACCTACACACAAATGTTTTTGACACACTTATTCTCAGCATCCTGTTCTCTTACAGCAGCCTCAGTTGGAGGAAGGGAGAAAATATGTTCCTTCTAACCTAATCTTCTAATGACCTTTCTGCCAGCTCCACTTTCCTGCCTATCTCTAAGCTGCCTGTGGTGGTGATGGGACCAAGATTCCAGTGCAGAGAGTGATTTCCTCCTCAGGGGTCAGCAGGGTCTGTTTGCTAGATTGTGATGTGCTGCCCAATTGCTCTTAAGAGATTCAGGGTAAATAAGGAGATAAGAAAATTGTTTACAATCCCATCTCTTGGGCCCCTTGCAGCTCTGTTAGAGTTTTTGCAGAGTCAAAGGACTGTTGACTGTGCTGCAAACCTGGTGCAAGTGAGCTCCCATTGTTTCTTCTCTTCCTGGTTTGTGAACTCCCTGCCAAGCCTGGCAGAAGGTCTCTCACTCTGCCCTGCACGTTTCCTACAGCTGCCTGCAACTGCAGAGAAGAAAAGCAGGAGAGCAGGCAAATGCGGCAGCATGCCTTGGTGGCTGGCTCCAAATGCTCTCTACAAACTAATATTTAGAGAGTGACTGTCTCAACTTTTGTTGAGAGGCTTTTTGAGCTCTGTAAGGCACACTCAATGCCTGTCTTCCAAAGCTGTCCCGTGGCAGTCGGGGGCTGTGATAGATTCTCCTGGTAGGAGATGCCTGACTCCCTTGCTCCACTCCCTCTCTCTGGGAGGATGCAGGATATGGGTACTTCTCAATTTCAGGGCGTTCCTGGCCTCCACGTTGCCTGTCAAGGGGAGATTCATTAGCAGCAGGGAGGCGATTCTCTCTCTGCTCTGGAATTGGAGTCATTTGTCTCAGGAAGGTTCTCAGACGCCTCACTCTCTGTGTGGCAGCTTCTGCTCAAGGAAGACAAGCACTTCATCAATAAACAAGGAGCCTGGGGAATGGCTCCAGCTGACAGAGGGCATTATTAATGACTGACACTTTTGCCGAGGGTGGATCAGCCTCCCATCAGCTGCTTTATGAGGAGAAGGAGAAATAGAGCTGAAGATGGCAGCCTTGAGAGGAGCTGGGAGTTTCAGCATCCTCCTGCAAAGTCCTCTGCTGTGAGGCACAGGGCTGGCACAGCCCTCAGGGAGTGACTGTGTATTTCCCCAGTGTCAGGGGTCAGCAGGAGACAGGCCCAGCTCAGGAGCAGTTTTGTATCCCAGCCCGCCAGGGTGGGCTCTGCTATGGAGGTCTTCCAGGCTAGACCTTCCCCTCCCTTCTGTCCCTCTCTCAGCCTGCCCCTGAGTTCAAGGGGTATCTTCCAGTATCTGTTTCTGCAGCTTCTTGCTTTGGAGGGCCTGTGGACCTTTTTGCAGCTTCTTCCCAGGCGATGCAGTGAAGAAGGCATTGAGGGGCTGGAGAGGAGGTTGTTATGCTGCCTTCACTCTTGGACAAAGCAAGAAACATCATCCCACATGGCTGGCTGTGCTGGAACTGGAGAAGCTGACGACTCTTGTCATAGTTGGACTCCTAAATTCATCCCCTCAGGTGGAAGAAGCCTCTAAGATCTAAAGCAACATTGCTTCACCTTACAATCATACTTAATTTGCCACAGCACCATCAGGGTGCAAGCAGAGAAATGCCTGCTTTGTTGTAACATTGATATTTCATCTTTCTGTGTCCTACAGCCTTAGAGCTGCCAGGAAAGTTAGTCCTTGGCTCCTGCATTAAAAAAAGCATGTGGTAGAAATGCTCAGCCCATGAGTTAGGTCTTTGTACCACCTTTTGTTTGGAACCACACTCACAAAGTTAGTTGTGAAATCTTTCAGCTGAACCCCTGAGTGTCCAACCAGCCTGCTGCATAGACAGGGTGTAGGATCTAGGTCATCTTGGTCTTCGCAGTTCTTGAAGGACGTAGCCCTTCATGCTATGGCTTCTTCTCACTCTAGACCTGCAGCTGTGGTGGCTTCATAGCTAAGGGTGCATTCAGTATCCTGTTCAGATCCTGTTGTCTGGGTGTGATGGTGAGTTTTTTATGCAATTTAAATCTCTTTTCAGACTGAAGACTCTTATGCTCAGCCTGAGATTAGAGGAAAATGTACTGGGGACTCATCTCCCTTCTTTCAGAGATTATTCTGTTACCACAACAGGTCTGAAGTCCAGAGTTCAGAGATGGCTCTAGGTTTAGGAGCCCCTTATTTATTCCAGGACTTGGGTTCTTGGAAATGGAATGGATGGATCCATTTTGGTGCTCCAAATTCTGTGTCTCACATTACCCAGCCTGAGGCTATTCAGAGTTAGGATTCAGGTGTGATCCCATCTTTGTCAGACTTGTGCAGGTAAACCCCAGTTGATTTCTACTTGCAAGAAAACTGGAAAAACTTCACTGCAAGACTGGCTCAAGGTCTCTCCCTTGTGGTTAAAAACTACTATCCTGGGGTTGAGTGTTGTGGGGTCCCTGGGCCGCTGTCTCCAGGCTTCCACTGGCAGGAAAAGAATGAGGCATTTCTAGGTCTGCTGGTATTTATAAGCTGAAACAGGTCCCACCCAGATAAATGGTCCATTTCTGCTCCAAAACAAGCTCTGGACTCTGCTCCAAGCCCCTAAGTGGATTGCCTTCTGGCCAGCCTAGCTCTCTGGTGATTGAAAAGCCGAGAGGAGTTAGAAGAGGGGGGGCAGGGATGTGATGTTCAGAGGCTGCGTGGACTCAAACTAGCTGGATTCACTGAACTCATCACTGAAATCACTTCTTACGGTGCCTCTCTGTTTTAATTCTCCCCGAATCAGCCCTCTCCCGTGAGTGAAACAATCTTGCCTGCAGATTGAGGGGGGTGGGAGGGATTTGAACATTAATCTGATGTAGATTATACATCCGCCTCCCTCTCTCTCCCCTTCTCACTCTCTCTCTCTCCCTCTCTCTCCCTCTCTTTCTGTCTGTTTCTCTCCCCTCCCTCTCCTTCCTGCTTCATCTCTTCAAGAAAGTGAACATAAAGTAAAAACACGGAGAGAGAGAGGCAGAGAGAGAAAAAGCTCCCTGAAGAGGGAAGCCCCAGCAGCCAGTAGCTGTTTGGATTTGCCTGGCGCTGCCTTTCTTGCTTTGCTCCCAAGGAGTACCTTTAATGGGATCAATTGCTTCAGTTCCTTTATAACCAAGTCCATCGCAAAGGCAGACTCAACATATTATGGGCAACTGTGTGAAGTCTCCACTGAGAAACCTCTCAAAAAAGGTATGTTCCCGGAATCAAAGTGCATTACATTTCCAGCCCTGCTTCTTGGGATGGGTGACGTCGTGGGCAGATGGGAAAGGGAGGTGGGAGAAACACAGAGATGTGTACAGTGGGTTCAACTCTCTTCACCAGTCTTTTTTGGTAAGAGCTGCTAATGCAAGTGCAGCCGTTAGAGCCCGGGATGCTGGGTGCCACAGCATGTGTGTAAACGTGTGTGTATGCACACACATGAGCAGGCTCATGTCCTGCTCACTGTGTGTGTGTATAGCTGTCCTCTGGGAACGTGCAGGGTTGTGCTTGGCAGTGTGCACAGTGTTTTGGCACACATCTTCTGTACGGGCATCTTAATGTGTGTGCACACGTGTGAGTCTGTGTGTGCGTGCGCATGTGCTTCAGTCGAGAGGTGTCTGCACAAGTCTAGTCGTGTGTGTCGTTTCTGTAGGGACATATATATTCACGTACCTGTGAATGGGCATGTATCTGTACGTATTCCTTTTGGGGTGTAAGAATATGCACACCCAATGAGCCCATCTGAAGTGTGTGTGTGTCCTTAGCTCTTCACATCCCTACACACACATCCTGAGGTGCGTGAGCAGGCATGCAGTGTTTGTGGTGACTGTATGGGGGGAATTTATGTGCATCACACATGTCTCCCTGCTTGTATAGTGCTGTGTGTGCCTACACCTGCTAGTGGATGCCCTCACGGAAACCTGTATGTAGACGTGTGTGGTTTTATGTCTATCCATCCTTGTGTATGCACACATCTGGTTTTATTGGTATGTGTTTGGGTACAGAAGCATGTTTTTCTCTGTGATCTGTTTGTCCATGCCTCTGTCTGTGAGTGGATACATGGGGCCCTGGCTGTGTGTTTGTGCATCGTGTCGCACGTCAGCATGGCCCATGTGTCTACATGCTTGGGCCCAGGCGGACTTCATCTGCGAGCTGCCATGTGGGTCTGTTAGACTTCAGCCCATGGGCTGCTCTGTGCTGAGGTTTTACAGTGATCCCAGGACAAATGAGATTCAGGAACGATTCTGCTGTTAGCAACTAGATTGACATGGGAGTGACGTGCCCCAGAAATATTTGTTGTTTGACTGAGGAAGGTTTTGCAGTGCTGTGTACCTGTCAGCTGCATGGTTCTCGCTTAGCACTGCTGCCAATCTAGTAACTCAGCAAAAAGCTATGCAATTCACTCCTCATAAATGAAAAAGTTATATTAAGCCTCTGAATTATTGCAATGAGGAGCTACCTCTGTGGAGACCTTGCCGACAGTGAAATGCCACTGCCATCAGGATGCTCTTCACAGCACACCTTGCCACCCAGGAAAGCGCCTCTGGGAGGGATCTGTTGGGGAGAGAACCTCCCTAGCAGGGAGTTTCTTCTGGCTGGAGATTTGCCTCTTTCAGGTAGAAACACAGTTTGTTTGTTATCTCGGCTGCTGTAAACAAAGCCAATAATGGCAGAGTGCAGCTGCGGGGGAGCTGGGGTACACAAGGAGAGAATTCATCACCAGTGAGGCAGTGCTGACACCAGTCCCTAGGTCAGAGTGACCTTCAGGGAGAGGCAGAAGTAGCTGAGGTTTACCCTAATGTTGCATATATGAAAAACCAACTTGGTTGCTTGTAGGTCGCCTCCAGCTTGCAATAAAAGGAGTTGGCTGCAGCTGTGCTCAACATGATCAAGGCAATTGCAATTAAAGTCTGACGTGTGGCCAGGCTGCTTGAATCAAAATGGATTCAAGAATTCATCAGCTCTGTGTCATCAGTCCTTTAGGTAATTCATGCTTTCATTCCTAAAAGCTGCTTCGAACAATGCACTTTGTGCCTAGATAGAAGGCCTGGGATGGCAGGACTAAAGAGAGAAAGCTGCAAAGCTGAATGAGAGCATCTCTCAGACGCAGCTCCAGCAAGCCATGAATTAAGGCCCTGGGCACTCATACTGGCAGATCCTGGGGCTCTGCTGTTCTTTTGATCACGACACGTGATTATAGTGGAGACTGCAGGTCAGTCTTAACGCTGAACAACTTCACTTGGCTGTTTTATGAGCCTGGTCTTTTTTCTCAGATTTTACCTTGGGAAAACTCATTTTGTTGGAATGATAAAGAGGTGGGACTGTAGACAACTTTTGTGAAAGCTGCTCTTGGGTGACAGACTGATCTCTTGAATACATGATTTCAACCCAAAATTTGGGATCACTCCCAGGCACTGTCTGGCTTGGTCTGGGACTGGCTGACATGGTACCTAGCTTGTTTTGGTGGCAATGCTCAGGCTTTGTCTCCACAATGTCTGTTGTTGGTAGCTTCATTTTCCCACCATCACGGTGTCCCCCCAGTGATCCCAGCAGCCAGGCTGGCTGCCTTTCCCTCTGAGAGGTACTGCAGCCAGGATGGAGATGCCCCTCTGGGCTTGTCCCTCTGACACACAGGCAGGAAAATGAGGTGAATCCCATTGTGCTTTTGCTGTGCAGAAAGGGAAAGCTTTGGCAGCCAGGTCCCTTGCTTTGCCACCTTTCACCATCTCTACAGCCATCTCTAAATCAGCCCAGGGTCTCTTCCCACTCCAAAATCTGCTGGTCTTACACAGCCAAGGGCTGGACTCAGCCAGGAACGGTAGTGGTCCTTTGCTCAGGGAAGGGACAGGGAAAGCCTGAGCTCCTCAGTCCTGTCCTAACGTTCTCTCTCATGCATGCTGCAGTTTCCCCTGTAATGAGCAGCTGATGTTGCTTTGCCCCATACCCATATCACAGCTCATTTTTGGGTTCTGCTGGGATGTAGGAGGAACGTGATGGAGGGAACTTGTGGGGATACTTGCAGGAGAAATCAGGGGGCCTGCTGGCAGAGGGAACATCAAGTGCTGTAAATCCTGCCTGCAGAGGAGAGCAGGGGAGGGATCCCCTGTTGAGGTCTTGCTAAGACATGCACCTTGTCATGCTGTCACTGCATTGGGTTGTCTGATCAGGATCCTTGGTGGCTTTTGGCAACTGTTTCATCAAGCTGGCAATCTCTATCCGCACAGGAAAACAACGGGATGAGTGTTCTGTGGTACTGCTCTGTGGCTTGGTAATAAATTCTATTGACTGGAGGGTCAGCAAACAAGGATTAGGGGCTGTGGGGCCTTCGATCTTGCACATGGCTTCACTGGAATTAAACACAGAACCGATGTGGGGGCTATTTTAAATGATTCATATTATCTGATATATTAAACTGAAAAATGTGCCAAGAAATAAAGCTGATCATTTTGAAAATACATTGCACTGATATCACGAAGCTGTGCAGTTCAACACAGATGCCTTGACATTTAGCTGAGCTAGTAATATGCCATTTGTGGACGGATGCTCATCTTTCAGATTTTTAAGGACAAGTGTCCTCTGTGTCAAGATTCAATCAGAGACAGATTTATTCCTCATCCATGACTGCAATGAAAATGCTTTTCTGCTTCATCATTTTCTTTCTCCATGGCTTGCTTTTTGAGTTGTTTTTGTTTTGGTGCTTGATATTCTCATGACATTATACATGAGCAGATTGGTGTAAGACTGTGTACAAAGATGCGAACTACAAACCATGTGTGTGATATAATAGCACATGGCACACACAGCACATACATACAGTCGACTCGGACAAGTGTGAATGGGGCATGTATGTTTATCTGATCTTTTAGCCTGAAAAAGCACCTCAGGCATTAAGGGTTAATAGAGACAATGACAATTGACAGAGCTTCTCTGATCACCCCTGAGAACACCAGCTGCAAAAGTAGAATCATTCCTGAAGAGGAATCTGATGTATGATTAATGTTTATTCTATAAAACCAAGGGTCCTGTGGGTTGTGATGGTTTTTTATAGCTGCATGGGAATATCAGGATAAGAGTTTTCTTGCAGAGCCAGGGAAATGCATTTCTATAAAAGGAAGGCAGTGCCTCCTTATAAAATCCAGTGCTGGATTCTGTTCTGGAGCCCTAGCTTAGCAGGACGTGTGCACTTAGGAAAATGTGCAAATGCAAACAGACAAAAATGCTGTGCTCGTGCCTGATCTCCTCTTCGGGACTGTCAGTGATTAGAAGAGGTCAGTGCAGTAACTGCCTGAGACCCTGAGGATGTAACTAATTAGAAGTGGCACGGGGAGTGCAAGCCTGCAGTTGGCAGAGCCACCTGAAGCTGTAAACGGCCTTCTAATAATATTATAAACCATGTGATGCTGTGCTGCTGGAATGTAACGCGGAGCCTCACACAGGGTCTTTGTGCAGCTCTGCCTGGTCTCCTGGGGATCCCTGGCTGACACAGCTCTGCCGGCAGCATTGCCCTGGGCACAGGCCGACACATGGACTGTTAGGTGGGGGTGTGTTCGTCCTTCGCAGCTCATTCAAGGGATTGTTAACTCTGGGGCTGATAGTAGGAGCGTGGCCCTTTGGGTTGTGTCTGGGTAGATGTGAGGAGTGCTGAGAGTTTGATGTCGTTTCAAAGCGAAATTCTCCTGGTTGGTTGTACTTCTCTCAGCTTTTGAAAGTGAAGTCCTGGACTTACTGCTTCTGTACAAATCCTAATAGACCAGTGGGGGGGACGCAGCGTGGACCAGATGAAAGAAATTTAGCAATAATGTCTCTGCGAGGCGGTTCAGTAAAACTTCAGAGGAACAGCTGGGCGAGACGGGGAGGTAACATCCTCTGTTGTGTTGTTTGCTTGCTGCTGGTTGGCTGGGAAGATCCGCCATGAGGAGAAGACGTGCTATAAAGCTGTCCAGACGAGCGAAGAGGGGCCGTCGGCTTGCGAGTACCAGGGTCCGCTCATGGTGCTGGCCCAGAACTGCGCCGTCATGCACAACCTGCTGGGGCCAGCATGCATCTTCCTGAGGAAGGGCTTCGCAGAAAACAGGCAGCCTGTACGTAAGTTACGCCCAGATGGGCGAGACATGCACAAAGCCACGTGGATGTGAGCCAGGGGTGCAGAGCTGCCCGCATGCTCCATCTGCGTGGGGCTCTGTAACCCCCAGCCCTGGGCCTTGAGCATCCCGGCTCCAGCTCCATGTGCAAATACAATCACAGGCAAATGTCTAACCCGAAGGATGTGCAGAGATATCCCCGTGCCTAAACACCAAGAAAGGAGGATTCTAAAAATGCAGCTAGGGAAGATAGATCTAAGCCTACACTCAAGTAGGTATAATCACATGGACTCAGGAGGAGTCTAGTTTTCAAAGGGAGACATCCACATCTCATTCCCAGAGGCTTAGGTTAGCATTTAAGGCCTAAATAGCCACTTAAATGCAAATCAGGGCATCCGTATTGGGAACAAGCCGTCCCGCAGACATGCCCATATTTGATTCTGTTCTTATCAGAGTACCAGCAGAAATAATCATGCATCTGCCTCCTCACAGATACCCAATGCCATCTCTTACACACTGTCATACACAGCCTGACCCTGCAGCAACCACAGCCAAATAAACCAAAGAACATCAGTCTGTCCTCATGTTTGCAAATAGTGCCAGGCTACCAAATGCTATTATCCCTACACACACAGATAAAGAGCAAAAACATCTATCCACTCAGTCACATCAATTTGTAACCATGTGTTCAAATGCATTTAATGTGTGTGTTTGTATGTCAGTTCAAATGCATACACCTGGACATATTAAATCCACATAAATATGCACCTCCAGTATTGTATCTTTGCAAGAAGTAAACCATATTTTTGCACATAAACATTCAGTTCCTACAATAACATGAATTCAAAGACATACACAAACATGATTAACACATTCCTTACGGATACATACGAGTGAATATGTGTGTTGTCAGATATTCACCCAGTGTGTTCCATATTCTTCTGGTGAAACAAAGCTCACCCAATTACCTGAGAGTCAGAGCTTTCTTGCCTCTCTAAGAACTCTCTTACTCGTGCGTTGATATGGTTATCCACAGCTGTAGGAGACATCTAGATCTTTATTTCTGAACCCTCCTCAACCAATAACCCAAAAAAAGAGTCATTATTTGTCATTATTGATCAAAGGACTTTTGTTCTTCCTAACCTTTAGCCACTAAGGGGTCACATATTTCTTGTGCCCGTTCACTAAAACACGAACCATAATATTCTGACACGAGCACGTGCTGGCATGCACAGAGCTACCTGTCATAGGGGATAGGTCCAGGTCCTAGTGGAAGGCTCACAGCTGGACAGGTATCCGTCCTGCTTAGCCCCTGGAAACTCACAGTACCCTAAGAAGTCTCCAAAATAGGATTAGTGATGTCTCTAACTACCCTGATGTAGAATAAGTGCATCTGATAAACAGCATTACTTTTACTGACTCTCTGGACCAACAGGATTTACTGTGCATAGAATGGGAATAAATGAGGGTAAGACCATTACATATAATAGACTCTCTGAGAGTCACCTCTGCTTATATCTAGGATCTAAACTGAACAGTTTTATTTCTCTTTCCATATGTTTTCCAGAAGCTTTAAAGTGATTCAGCCCATTTCTTCCCAAGCAATTTTCCTCCTTTATCATTTTAGGGGATCTTCTTTCAGATTTAAAACAGAAAACCTCTTCATGACGTTAGTTATCGCTTGAGTCAGATTTTTGGAGGGACATAAACCCTCCTCCTCCTTTTGCATTCGCAGTCTGTGGCTCTCTGATGGTAGAATCTGCATGTGCAAAGATATGCTCAGAGCCCTGCAAGCACGAATGCCTTGGTGTGCAAAATTAGAGCTGGCGCTGAAGCCCCCATTTCTGACATGTGTCAGTCATGTCGCTTGCAACGTGGTCTTCAGTGAGGGATGGGGAGGGTGGTCTTGTGGCAGGGGCACTGGAGG